GACTCGCACGCCCCCAGGGGTGGCCTTGGGGACGCCTGCGAGGCGCGCCGCGGTCAGGGCGGCTAGAGCTTCGGGAGGACGGTCGCCGATGGCCAGGCGCGCCAATGTGTTGGCTACCGCCTCTGCTCCGTCTTCGTCGTGCTTGAGCGGGGCCCAGTGCTCGTAGCGTCCGCCTCCAGGTCCCGCACCGCCACGGCGGGGGAAGCGGCCAAACTGGCGCTCGAGGTGGTTGGCCACTCGGTGGTGTAGCTCTGCCGCGCCGAGGAGCTCGTGAGGGGGTGTGGCTGGCGGCTTCGCCACGTCGGCCCCCGCCGCTGGGGGCCACCCCCCTGGCCCATGCGGGGCGGCCCCAGTGCCAGGGGGAGGGCCCCATTCGCCTGGGCGAGGCGCCGCAGGCTGCTGGGTGGTGCTAAACTCCCTAACCACCGCCGCTGCATCCGCCATATCACTCTGGGGCCACACTGCCGCTGCCGCCCGAGACATTTCGCCCGCTCGCGCGAGCTCAGCAACACGGCGAACGCGGGCCGCGACGTGATCTTCGCGGCCCTTCGTGGTGACCGAGGTGCGCGTCCGGTCCCCCTTGGAGAGCCAGGCGACATCCCATTGGCCGTCCTGGATCCACTGCAAACGCTCCTGGAGGCGCCCTCGTCGCGTCGTCGGGGTCGGGGTCGCGTTCTCGCTGAAAAGCAACCCATCCAGCGCTAAGAACACCTTCCACAACCGCGCCAGCGTGCGCGACGCCAGGCCGTCACTGCCCTGGCGGGCCTGCTCGATCGCCAGGCACAGCCGCACCTTCACGTGGCTGACGGCTGCGGCCATGCCGTCAGGGATCATGGCCGCGGTGGGCGCGCCCTGCAGCAGGATGCGGCCCCACCCGATGTATCCCACCAATCCAGGTTGACAGACCGAATCTCACGGCACGCATCTTCGTCAGCCACCTGGTCGTCCAGGTAGTCGTCGTAGACGCCTGCTTCGAGCCCCCCGTCGTCGTCCTCGGCCGCGGGGGCGTCAAGGGGCGGCTGTAGGATGTCCGCGGGAGACGGCGCCACCGCCTCGGCTGCCACCGGGGGAGCCCCACGGGAGCCTGGGCCATACGCCCCTGGCGCGGCGGCGGCAGGGAGCCTCGGGGCGACCCCAGCACCCCCTGCCGCGCCGTCTCCCTGGGAGGAGTGGGCACCTGGCCTTCGACCGTCTCCAGCAGGGGCAAGATGGGGCCGCCTCGGGCCTCCAGAGCAGCTGCGAGGCGTTCCCTGTCGCCCTCGGGGAGCTGCGTGCAGCCCTCCATCGCCGTCGCTGGTGGCAAAGGGCCGTCCACGCAGGTCATGTGGAACCACTTCTTGCCCGCGTGCGCCTGGGAGCCCACGGGGCGCATCACGACGCCTGCCACACGCCACTCGGCCGCCTCGAAGCCTCCCATGCAGCGGGTGCAATGAGCTTGCTTGCCACGGGTCGCCTGGGCGCTGACGCACCAGCGGGTGGTACGCCCTCCCGTCATGCGACGCCGTCGCTGCGCAGGCTGCCCTTCGCTGTCCCGCATGTGGACGTCGGTGCCGCCGTCCACTGGAACTTCTGGGACGCTTGTACCGCCCGATGCGAGTGCGGCAGCGGAAGCGCACGGGGCGGCCCCGGCACCTCCGCTGCCCGCTGCGGCTGCCAGCGCACCGCCTTCACCTCGGGCCGCCGCGTCGTTACTCCCAGCCACTCGAGCCCCTGCACCTGCGTCCGCAGCGCCGCCAGCGGCCGCCGCCATCCCGGGACCTCCCCTCAGGGCAAGGAAGAGTGTGCGTAACGGTAAGGGCACGAGAAAAGGAAGGGTGGCTGCCACCCGCGGTTTGAGGGCAGCAGTAGCCCCCCCGCCCACAGGCTCCCCAGAGCCTTGGAGGGACTATCACTACTACTACCACTACAACTGTTACTACTACTACTACTACTACTACTACTACTACTACTACTACTACTACTACTACTACTACTACTACTACTACTACTACTACTACTACTACTACTACTACTACTACTACTACTACTACTACTACTACTACTACTACTACTACTACTACTACTACTACTACTACTACTACTACTACTACTACTACTACTACTACTACTACTACTACTACTACTACTACTACTACTACTACTACTACTACTACTACTACGACCTACTACCTACTACTACTACTACTACTACTACTACTACTACTACTACTACTACTACTACTACTACTACTACTACTACTATAACGACTACGACTACGACTACGACTACGACTACGACTACGACTACGACTACGACTACGACTACGACTACGACTACTTACTGCTACTGCTACTGCTATGCTACTGCTACGCTACTGTACTACTACTACTACTATATACTACTCTGCTACTGCAGCTACTTACTACTACTACTACTACTACTACTACTACTACTTACTATACTACTACTACTACGACTAATTAACTTATACTACTACTACTCCTATACTACTACGACTACTACGACGACGACTTACTACTACTACTACTACTACTACTACTACCACTACTACTACGACTACTACTACTACTACTACTACTACTACGACTACTACTACGACTACTACGGCGACTACTACGACGACTACTACTAATACTACCACTACTACTACTACTACTACTACTACTACTACTACTACCACTACTACGACTACTACACCTGCACCTGCTACTACCACTACTACACCTACTGCGACTATTACAATTACCACAACTACGAGTACCACTACTACTACTACTACTACTACTACTACTAATACTACTACTACTACCACTACTACTACTACTACT